TGCCACGGGAAGCTCGTGACTTGCTGTGGTACGCGAGTTGTACGTATAAAACGTCCTCTTAGCAGAAGGAGAGGAGACAGCGCAGTAGAAAGCCTACCAGCCGAGGGATGAGCGAAAGAAGAGCTCTGAACGCAGTGTAATCTAAATACGAGGGGGAGAGGGCGACTCGAGGGCAGGGAAGCCCCGATTCGGCGCTCCCCTGAGGGGGTGTGTCAGATTGAGCGCGCTACGCGAGGCTTCGGCAACGCTCGGCAGAACACTATTTCCGAGCGCCGAGCCCCGGGTCAGGGGGTGGCATACCCCCTTCCCTACGCGCCCCTGAAGGGCCCTTAGACAGTTACACACATAACGGAATATACATCGTTCTGAACCCTCAATTCGACATCAATACTTTCTCTGGTTCAGAGGCCGCCAGTGACACTTAATGACTAATCGTGAACTCGGGGAAAGGATGCCTAAAACCTTATATGCTAATCATGCATTCTGCCTTGCCATGCTTTAGTTTGTGGCGTAGCCATATTTTAGATAACCTTTGTTTCCGGCCTGATAGTAACTATAATATAGCTTTTTAAATTAAAATAAATAATCGTATTATTAATAGCTATCTTAATATATTAAAAGAGGGTATTTTACTTACTAAATTATTAATAAACTCTACTCTAATATTTTTAATAAGCTCTACCCCTATTAGAGTAGAGTTCGTTATCTATAGTATATTAGGATAAACTAATAAGGAAACTAGTTATCTATTAATCTATATATCTATCTTTAGAAGAAGTTTTAGTAGAAGTACTAAGGGAAGTAGCTATCGGCTTTATAGCCGTTTGCCGGTCTGCCTGTTACGTGGGCAGCCTGGGTGCCGGCAGGACTGCTGGCGACGGTTAGACTTCAACCCGGAGTTCCGGAGTTCTGGTGATTCAACATAAACCTTGATCGGAACCCCGCAAAATAAAATCTGGAACGGCTCCCAAAGCTTGTTCCTCTCCCTGTTGTTCTACATTACATCACGATGTCTAATCGTGTTCACCTTTGCGGATACCACCCCCGCTAAGGCTTGAAAAATGTGGCCGCCACGACCAAGCTCAGCCATAGCGATCGAGACACACGAAGGATATCTCGTGGAAGTATGGGTAAGGACTTTGAGGATGACGACAGTCGGGAATTGAGGGGATGTGATTAATAGACACTAATGGGTTTACAGACTTGGTATGCAATTGGCATGGTAATCATTGGTCTTCGCCATGTTGTGCGCCTTCGAACGGTGGGCTTCAGAGGATACCATGGCGATGACTACCTCTCTTTCCTTGTAAGCACATTCACTGGATGTTTTCGATTAAATATGCGACCCATCAAACCTAGCCAGGACTAACCATATCAACCTGACTGACATAGTGCATCCTCTTATACACTGTCGATAGTACAATGGGCTATTTCGCTTACTACGCAGGGGGAAACATCAACGTCAAGCCGCAGCAGGTTGATTCACTCAGTGACGAAGACGTCAGGATCCTCGAGATGGGCAGCAAAATGGAGTTCGTCACATGGTACACCTATCCCGGCTTCGTCTGGGTATTGAAGTTCAGCATCCTCTTTTTCTACCGACGCGTCATGCAGGGCCTAATAAAAGACCGGACAATCAACTTCCTCTTCCTCTTTTGCGGGCTGACCTGGGTAGCGCTCATCGCGACCGTGAGCTCTACATGCAGGCCCTTCCACGACAACTGGACGGTGCGCCCCCTGCCCGGCGAGCACTGCATCTTTCGGGCACAGAACTTTTACGCCCTGGCCGTGCTCAATGTCATCACCGACGCCTTCATTCTAATCATCCCGGCCCCGATGCTCTGGCACCTCCGGGTACCGGTGTGGAAGCGCGTCGGCGTCACCTGCCTTTTATGCGGCGGCCTCTTTGTTATCGCGGCGGCCATCATCCGCGCCGCGTTGACGCTCACGGCAGCGCCGAGCGTCCTCACCATCAACATATGGGGTTACAGGGAGACCGTCATAGCGCTGCTGGCCGTCACGACCCCGGTGTTATGTCCACTGTTCAGGCCGGGGTTCTGGAAGCGAGGGGCGCTCATTTTCAGGCCGGTCGATGCACTGCACCGCGAGGCCGAGGAGGAGCTCGGGGTAATAGAGAGGAGAAGGCGGAGGCTCTTCTCTTCGAAAAGAAAATGGGACTTTGGAAGCAGTCTGAAGACGTCTTACCTGTCGGTCAAGTCGAGCAAGAGGTCCGCCATCATGACCACCACCACAGTGCGCCACGTGGAATCAGATGTTGAGGCCGCTGCTCTACAGACTCGCGCGGAAGGTAATCAGGGCCTAGGTAGTGGTGACGCGAGTAGGGTTCTAGAGAGTGATGCGCGCACTGGGATGGACTTCATTACCGGCTCCTCTCTTCTAACTGGAAGCAAAGAGAATATAAACTTGTCGCGGCCTCAAAATAGTAAAAACTAGAAAATCAAGCACGAATTATCTTATTATTAGTCTAGTATAGCGTAATAAATAAATTAATAGTATACTTTCCTATCTAGGTTTGTCTTAATAATAGATCTCTTAAATTTATAAGATAGTAGGTATACTTAGTTGTCTAGCTAGCCGGAAACTATCGAAGAACCTTTAAGTAGGTACTTTAGTCCTAATCTATATATAAGTCTTTATAATCTTAAGGTAGATTCTAATAAGCGCTCGCAATATATAATAAGTGCTTATTACTAAGGATAAGTACTCGTTATCTTAGCTAGGTGCTTATTATTATATTTTATCTTAACGTAAATTATATAATAGTTCTTCTTTTCCGAGGCTCCCCTATTATCTTAGCCCGTGTCCTATATATGAATGCCCTGCCTTAGCTACTAGCTAGAGTAGGTGTGTTAACCCTCTGTTAGGCATAACGAACGGGTCGCAATATATGGCGATGGGTTATGTTCGAATATTCGTAGGCGCACATTCAGGGGTCAATCGTGATGTGTATTGTGCTTCTTCTTTTTCTAAGACCTGTCCGTATCCCTTACGCGCCTTCTTCCGGCGTGTTCCCTGTGACTAAGCGCACCTAGCGCGGTCCTCGGCCAAACATTCCTCCTAGCGCCTTCCTGGCATCCTAGGCGCTCTGCGTGTGCATCGCTTCCAGCGCCCCTGGCCTACCACCCTTTTTGACACACACCTTTAGCCTTCGCGGCTCGAGACCTCGGTCCTAGGGCGCTCCTGCGCGCTTCATACGCAGCAGCGGAGGCTACCCTTAGGGGTGGCAGGCCAACCGACTTCTTCCTTATTCCTCTCCTCCTTCAAAGATCCCTCCGCTCCATGCGGTCTCTGCGAGAGGGTCCCTCTCTTCGCGTAGTGGTTCCGTCTCCTTCTTCACCAAGTTGAGCTGTTTTATGAAGTCTTCAAACGGTTGCCTTGCGAGGCTCTTCGTGAGTCCGTCCGCAACAAGGTCTTTCGTTGGTGTGTGGACGACGTTGATGGTGCCGTTCTCAACCTCCTGTCTCAACCAGTGGTTGTGTATATCAACGTGACGAAGCCTCGTCTTTAGAGTCACGAGTTCCTCAGTTACTATTCGAATCGTCTGGAGGTTGTCGCACTGGATCGTTATTCCGCCGCTTGGAATCGTCGTATTAAGAGCACTCAACAGACGGCTAACGAATATAGCTTCGCGTGCTGCTTGTGAGAGGGCGAGAAGCTCTGCTTCTGTCGTTGATGTTGTGACTGTGTCTTGTTTGTTCGCTCTCCATCCGATCAATCCTCCAGCAAGCCGTAGTGCGTACGCCTGAGAGCTCTTTCGATCTAGCGAGTTATCTGCGAAGCTGGCGTCTGATGCGACTTCGAAACTCTTGTTGTTGCCATCGTACTCGAGACTAAGGAAGCAGGTGTCCAAGATGTACTGCAATACTCGATCTGCAGCGCGATGATGCTTCTGAGAGGGATTCTGGTTAAACCTCGCCAGACGGCTTGCAGCAAAGGCGATATCGGGGCGCGTCATCACCGCCAAGTATAGGATCGATCCAATCTTTCGTTGGTATGCCGTTATTTCGCTCTTTGAGGCGTGCTCCTCGGCGGGCAGTAGCTCCTCGTTCGTCATAGGTGTCGTAAATCGAGTGTTCTTCCTCTGTGATCCTTTATGTGTGCCTTGACCAATCAACCGTGCGATCTTCTGTGCGTATGCTGCCTGAGATAGCCAGATTTTCTTCTTGGCTCGGTCGCGCGTGACCTCGATTCCTAGAAACCAGTGAAGAGGGTCTCCGCCTTCCAGGTGGTACTTCTCTTTGAGCCCGTTAATGAGGCGCTCAGCAGCGTTTCTACACTCAGGGGGAAACGCGAGAACACAGTCGTCGACATAGAAGAAGAAGAGCACGCGTCCCTTCCGCCAGCAGCAATTCTCGCCTGCGACGCGTTCCATCCCCATTGCTTTCAGACCGTTCTCTAGATGCCGTTGCCACAGTAGAGGGGACCTGCGAAGGCCGTATAGAGCCTTCTTCAGCCGCAGGACCTTCCCCTGCTGCTCATGGCCCGGTGGAAACTCCATATATACTGTCTCGTCGATCGGAGCGTGGACAAAGGCATTAACTGCGTCGTACTGCAGTAAGGTAAGATCTTGCTGGGCCGCGGTGGCAATAAGGGTTCGGAACGATTGTCCAGCGAGGGTCGCAGCGTATGTATCCTTGAAAGCGTTTTTAGCCTGTTGATCTCCTCGAACAACGATCCTTGCCTTGAGTTTCTGGAGTGCTCCCTTCTCGTCCGTTTTATAGACGTATACCCACCGGCAACCCAGGATCTGGTGCCCGGCGGCTTCTCTACGGTCTACGACGACGTATGTATCCATCTCATCGTGGCTCGCGAGGTGCTTCTCTTCCGCTTCTCGGAATCCCCTCTCGTAGGGGTGGCCGTATAGATCGGCATGTTTCTGAGGCACTGGGGGTAGTACGCCTGCTTGGCTTTTTCGCTGGGGCAGAGGACGGTCCTCTCCCGGAACGCTAGAGGCCACGGTCTCAACCGCGGGCCCCCCGTCACCTGACACGGGCCTACCGTTGTGGGAGCTTAGCCCAGAGGGAAGGTCTTCCTTTACCCTCGAATCAACGTGGTTTCTTCCCTGACGGAGGTCGAAGGCACGCTCACACCCAGGGTTTCTAAGACTCCTCCTGGGCCCAGGGGCAGGGTTCATACCATTACCACGTCCGGCTACGGTGAGACCTTCGAGTCTGTTGTTCCAACATACTACCGCTTCCAGGCTGGTATCGGCGTTCTTCGCCTTTTGCTTCATCTTCACTCGTTTTCTACCCGTTCTGGTGCCGCCGAGGAAAGCGGCTTGCCAGGAGGTACGCGGAGTGGTAATTGGAAACTCTTCGTGGATCGATTCGCGTGCATGAACCGCCTCAGGAGCGATCGAAGCACGTCTCTTCCTCCACCCCTTCACTCCGAGTGCCTCCTCAAGGCCTGCGAAGAACGAGGTGGGTGGCGTCCGCGGTGGTGTATTGAGTTCGAATCGTGACTCCACGTACTTAGGCGACGGCGGTGCGGTGTATTCTTGTGCCTCTTCGTCTTCAATGTACTGGACTTCATCGACTTCTTCGTCTGCGGTGTGTGCGTACTCTGGAGATGTTATCCCTGTGGGCGAGACCTCTAGTCGCGCGAGAAGAGCGTTGAGCTCGTTCACGTCGAGGTCTTTGAGGTCATCCCGCAGCTCGTTGATATCTCTATTAAAGAACTCGGTTTCCCTGAACACAACGTCTCGCGTTGTGATAACGCGGGCAGTAAGCGGATTCCACACGCGGTAGGAGTTGCTAGTACTGTACCCAATGAGGTAGCCTATCCATCCTCTCGGTTGAAGCTTTCTCGACTTATTCCTGCCCAGCTGTGCGTCTGTTGTGAGCGCATACACTTTGCAGCCGTACGCTCGAAGGTGGGCTTGATGAGGCTTCCCGAGATCTGGGCCGCGAAACTGATTATGGAACCGTTCGAAGGGCGTTTTCCAGCCGCGCGCCGCTGACGGCGTCCTGTTGTATAAATACGTCGCGGCGGCAACGATTTCGGGCCACAGCATCTCAGGGAACTTGCCTGCCTCGCGAAGGGTCCTAGCCTTCTCCTTGATAACTGCTGCGATTCGCTCGGCGCCTCCGTTCTGGGCCTGCGTATTGGGCGCAGAGGGTTCGAGGACCACCCCTTGAGATTGAAGGTGAGTGGCGACTTGCTGATGAATCGTTGCAACCTCGCGGTCACATTCGAAGACTTTGACCTGTATATTATATTGCGTCTTCATCATGGCCATGAAGAGATCGAATACCTCGAGGAGCGTCTCTGTTGTACGGTCCTTAAGGTAGTAGTCCCACGAGTATCCTGTTAGTCGGTCAGAGAGTATTACCGTAGACATATAGCCTCCGTATCCTTGAGGGCTAATCGAGTGAAAGTCGAACGCCACTCTTGATCCTGGTTTTGCCCACGCTATAGACTCGCGTGGGGCACGTCGAACAATTCGTCTTGTCTTCCCTTTTCCACACGCTGAGCAGTCAGGCAGCTTGTTGCGTAGGTCACCCATGATCTTCACGCCTCGAGAGGCGTTGACGAGGTGCTCCAGCACCCCCTCGCCCGGGTGACCCAGTCTCTGGTGCCATCTGAACGGTCTTCCTGCGAGTCTTTTGCGCGGTGTAAACGATGTGTGGCGCTGCTTCGCCTGCGTGACGAATCCTGCTTTGGTATTGTCCTCGATAACCTGTTGTCCATGGAGATCGTGAAGGTAGCAGACGAGTGTCCCATCCGCTCTTCGTACGCAATTCTGGCCTGGGCGGTTATCCCACCACATCCCTCGTTGCCGTAGAAGGCGGTAGGAGACTAGATTCGTTGCGAATTCTTCGCAGTAAGCGACGTTGTATAAGCGGAGTCTTACCTTCTTCCCCCGCTCAGCGTCAGCCGTTATATCCACGTTTCCATACCCTAGGATTGGGACTTGTGAGGCTCCTGCCCATAGGTAATCCCCTGGTTCAGCTGCTCTGAAACCTGAGAATCGAGCCCGGTTGTTGAACACGTGTAGCGATGATCCTGAGTCGTATATCGCAGAGTTGTGTAAGGGGTACTCAGTCCGGATCATGAACGCAGAACGGTCACTCGTATACTGCTTCCTCCACGATGCGTTGGCTGACCCCATACACCGACCATACAGTCAGGTCTGCTTCGCTTCCTTCTCGCGTTGTTCACGGATCTTCTTCACGCGGTCCGCGAGGTCGTCATCGGCCTTGAGACGCTCGGTGACCTTCTTCATGATGTCGTTGCTGGGCCTCCATCCTTCATACGCTTCCCCTGGGAAGCAGTAGAAGCAGTTGGCAAGTAGGTGTCGTGGCAGATCACATCCGTGACACGTTGGCATCTCGTTTTGGGTCCGCGAATCGGCGGCCCTATGTCGCTTCTTGGTTGTACTCCGAGGCATGGTCTCCTTGGGTCCTTCTCTTGTTGTGGCAAAGGCACCTCTTGAGGCTCTTGGTCCTGTCGATAGGGTATCTGCGTGGATTCGTATATATCGTCGTACTTCCGCAGAGATCTCGCTGATCGAGGGGTTGTCCGACTCGTGGAACTTCGCCTCGAACGTGGCGTGGAACGCAGAAATAGCGGTCTTCGCAATGACCTTTAGGAAGTCCTCGCTCCACTCGCTGAAGTCCCTTGTCTGGGCAAGGTTGACCTCTTGTCCCTTCAACATTGCGGCCTCCCATTGCTCGAGCCAGTTCTCGATCTCGGCCTTCGTGGTTATCCGCTTTGTAGCCGCTTGCTTGACGGTCTTCTCGTACTCCTCACGCGCGGCGCTCTTTTGTTCATTGTTCGAGATCGAGGCCACGCCCTTCAGCTTGACCATCCAGGCGTGGAGGGTCTCCGTAGGTTTACAGCACGCATTGACGTACTTCTCGGCTGCTGTCGATAGGACCCAGTTGCGGAGCTCTCGTAGAGCAGCCGCTTCACGCTCGTAGATACGGATATCATGGTTGTAGTCGCTCCGGAGCTGTACATACTCCTCACGGTCCTCCTTGACAAGGTCTTGGAGGCGTCTAGCCGTCTCGTTCGATCGAACTTCTTCGATATCTGGTGTCTGTGACACCTCGATGATTGATCCGCGGGTATGTCGCGGTATACCTTTCTTCTTGTAGTCGGAGAAGGCCGGAGGCTCCGGCTTCGGCATCCGCTTCTCGGGGTTTTCGGCGCCGGGATCCACTTGCTCCCAGACGTCCAAGTCGGTGGCTTTACCCTAATAGCTAGGAGTCTAGCTTTAAAGCCAGAAACTGGCTTTTCTAAGTGGCTTGATTGGCTAGATTTTGCTAGGCACGGGACTCTTTCTTTGAGACAAAAGATACATCCTGAAAACTGGCTTTTTCCTATACAAAGCCACTTTTCGTTCACACAATAGATACATGAGAATATGTCTCAAAGTTGTCAATGTAACTGAATATGTACACAAGCCAGTTTTCCAGTGGGAAAAACTGGCTATAGTACATCTAGCTCATTATAGATGTGTTGTACCGAAAAGCTTAATCGGTGTCCAGTCATTATCTTTTCAATGTTATCTATTGGTTAGTCAAATAAGCCAGAGTATTTTATACCTTAAGCACGATATTAAGACTCTAATAAGTCTTGCTATACCACGATGCAAACTTCAAAACTTTAGAGACAAGCTATTGGAATATATCTTATTTACAGTACAAAATATTATCTTATTTTAAGTCTCTTTGAAGTTTTTACCTTGATGTAAAGTGTTTTTCTTTTTGTCGAAGGTACAGGTAGTAGCCTAGCAGATCAAGTCAATTCCCTTACTACAGAGAGACCAACCCACTTTTAGGTCTACGGAATGGACTTAAAAAGTGGGTTCCCTTATGGCCATGAAACTAAACCCACTTTTTACCGTCCTAAAGAAGGTCTAGCACCTGAACGTTAAATATCTAAGACAATTAAATCATAGAGAAGGTCTCCCTATTGTCTTAAAAGCCGTCTGCTTATTAGCTAGCCTGAAAGGGGTTTTGGCTTTGGAATTTATAAAGTGGCTTCTTGACTTTTTTTGTGGGTTTTAGGAATGGAAAGGTTTCTTAGTGTTAACGAATCATAATTCGTGAAAGCCACTTTTTGTCTTAAAAGTCACTAGGAGTGGATAATCCCTGAGAATTACTCCAGTTTTCGCCTTGAATTAACCAATCAAAGCTTGATAAATGGAACCACGAAGTAGCTCAATTCCATGTAGTATTACGTTGTTACTATCAAATCCCTTAGCACTAAACATCGTGGAAACAATTATGCTTGATCCTCAACACACCTAGGAGTACACGTCATTTCGTGAAGAGACTAATCCAGCAGACCAGATCTTTCCACATATAAAAGTCGTCAAAATCCTCACTAGATGAGAACACTTTTCAAACCATCCTTCAAACTATATAACAAAGTATTCTATATCATCCTTACTATATCTATCTAAGGCGCCTAACAAAACTTACTATGGTAAGTATTTTTTTACTCTATAATATTACTTTTTTAAGAAATAAAAAGCTAACATGTAAGCAATACCAGGTGCCTTATTATGAGCGCTTATCCCGTTAAAGAATTTCATCAACAAAGGTCGCTACCACCCAGAAATTGGAAATCCCTCCAGCTCCAGCACTCAGTAAACCCTCATCTTCGACGTCAGAGATACCTTGTCCGGTCAGGGAATAGATCTGAAGCGGGAACATCTATCCAAAATCCAACTTTAGGGTTAAATCAAGATTCCTCGCTTATATACAACACAGTCGTAACAACTCGCGATCTCACTACCAACAAAATATGGAGAACAGATTGGCAAATGCAAAAGGTTGCAGAATCTGAGGCGAGATATCAAGGTATAAAGCACAAGGCAGCAAACGAAGCCCAGAAGCGTAGGGATTTACAGATATTAGCAAATCGCAAAATCCATCAAAAAGAAATCCAAGCCATGAGACGCTTTACACATCAGCCTACAATACCAAAGTCAAAATCTTTCAATCAAGGCAAAGTCATAAAGGATCTCGAGCCAATCGACTTAACCTTTGATAACGATAACGATAATTATGCGAGTAATATCAAATCTCCTAGAAACCAAAACTCGTTATCAAGGGAGTTTTCGCCATCAATTACTAATCCAGTTCAAATCACGAAAAGTATACATAAAGAAGTCAATCCAAACGATTTAATTAAGCCTCCCCTACCAAAGCAGCTAGCTACAAGACTAGGTAAAGTTAATACAACGAAATCAAGCAAGATACAACATCCCAGCCATACAAACGCCACAGTACAGCAAAAGAGAAAGAAGCTCTCACCAAACAGAATTCCAACAAACAAAGCAAAACCCCCCGAAGCCAAAAGCAAATCAAGTTCAAGTTCTTCTGATGGTCCAATCGCTTTTCAGAGACGATACTCCAAGAGACGACGCCTTATGAAACCCCAAAGTATTTCAAGCCAGGAAGAAACACCTTGCCAGCAAACCAGATTATTACCCCAAAGACGACTTCTAGGAAAGTCTTCTACTTTAAAAGACCTAGAAGATATATCCCAGAGCACTTTCTACAAACAGAAATCTCTTATTATCCCATCAGATTTCATACCTTGTTCTCCTATTCCATTAGGATCAGGTAAGAGTCGTTATTCTCCTTTATAAAAAGACGTATAGTATATTTAGTTATAATCTAAAATAGTATATAGAATGCTCAGAGTTATCTCAGCCTAGCCAGCATAGTATATTACAACCTTACAATATTTCTCCTAAACTCCAGATATTTCAGCACCTACCCCAGGAGAAAAATTTCCGAAAAGAAACTTCGGCAGAGGTCCCCCGATACACAATACCTCAGGCCCTCAGAGTCTTATCAAGTTCAGATCCTGTTTTAGGAGAACACATTCAGTCACATTCAAAGCAAGCATCCAATGATGTCGGACATAGCCAAAATCCCTCTTCTCCCCCTCAAACCCCTCCATCTCCTATTGAATCCCCTTCTAGTAATCTCTTCCGTCGCACACTCTTTAGGGTACAATCATCACCTAGTTCTCCTTGTCAATTCCCAACAGAATTATCATCACAAGGATCCGCCTTAGAAAGGCTAGATTCCATATCACAATCCGGTTCCCAAAAGGGGAGGCAGAGTAATAAGAATAGTGGGAATATCTCAAGTAGTTTAGATCAAGATGGATTCTTTCACGAGGAGGCAAAGCCTACACCTTATAAACCATTCTTAAAGGATACCTTATTTGATACAGAAAAGCAGAGCTTAGTTTCTGATCAAGTGGTATCCAGAGATAAGAGCAAAAAGTCCCCTCTACTAAGAAGAACCGCGAGTAGAAATGATAAAACCGGAAATAACGAAGATAGTATATCACAAAGTAGTACAGATTATTTTACATCCTCTGGGGAATATCTTAGAGAATTTATAAATTAAAGAGGCAATCCATCAGGAAGCATGACGAATTAAAAAGGATATGTTATTCCCAGGGAAATATTAGTTTTTAAAGGTTTAATTTAATTAAACTATATTATTAATATATCCTAATTCTATTAGAATAATAATAGTTACATAACCGTACGACAAGGCTGCCGACAGATAGATTTATGAACGACATGACTAGTACCTGTAACACT